GTTTTGTATGCCGTTATAACGTCATCTATCAAGCGAATTGAGCACTATACTGCCCCAGATTGGTGTTATAGTGCCAGTAACCAATTTTCCAGAAGGTGCATTAAATTTGGCCAAATTGTGAAGTGGTGTTTGAAGCAACCCTTAGTTTTTATCAGAGATCTATTAATAATGCCACATTTTGGATGAAAAATAAAAACATAAGGAAGACATTCTGTGGGGAGACGTTAGAAGGCTTTGGGAAGATCTACTTTTACTTTGTGTTTTTGTGTGTGTGAGTAAGATTTTGTGTAAGAGTTTGAAGAATTTCTTGAAGGAGACTCCAGAAATTGCGTGGGGAGTAGACATAAGGTATCTTGTCTTCGTGTTTCAGTTTTTATTGTTAAGACTTAACTTTCAATACAAGTCATGTGTGTTTTTTTTATCTCCATGAATTCTAAGTATTTCCCTTTCTTTCTCATTGCATTTGAGAAATATTCATGTTGAATGAGAATGGTCATAAATTTTTTTTTTATTTTAAAAATTAAGATGGCATTTTCACTGATTCTTCATTGACTTTGCAAATTGGCCACTTGTGAGGTTAAAATTTATCGAGAAACATAATGACCCAGAAGGGCTATGATTTCACCAAACTTATGAATGCCACACTTACTCTGGAAAGAGTCGTTGCAATCGTCTAAGGGGGAATGCAAATAGATAGAGAGATAAGTTTTGATAGGCGTATAATTAGGCGTAGAATTGATGTTTCTAGGGTGACAAACTAGACTCTTTTATCAATTCAATTTTAAGTTTGGATCTATGGGTCTCTAGTAGGTTCTATAGAAAGGGCACAGAGGGTTATCTAGAAGTTAAAGGCTAGAATTTACTCAGCACTACTACACAAGCTGGAGATAAATTTTAGGTTAGCTAATGTTTTTTGCTAGCACCGAGAGGGGGTAAAGTATAGGTATGCTACTATTTGTCACAATAAATCATTTCATATTTTTAATCATTCAAATCCTATACTGATTAACATCTTTTTGCAAGGGGAAAGACCTTTTCATAGCCTTCAAAATCACTTTTAAACTTTATCAATCTTCTTAACTTTATTAAACTTTTAAACTTTGTTAATACCTTATGCTTACATTTGGTCTTAATGTTTTTCAAACATTTCAAAATTTATCTCCTATCATATTTATTTGCAATTTAGATAGAGGTTTTGCAAGTCGATATTAAGAGTTACAACATTCCCCGTAAGATAGAGGTTTTGTAAGTCAATATTAAGAGTTACAACGTTCCCCGTAGGATCGATACTAGGGTTTTTAAGGAAAACCATATATTACTTGAAACGATACGTATACTTGCATAGTACCCCTGATGTGAGGGCTTATTATATATTTTTTAAATCATTTCATTTATTCACACTAGCTGGTAAATATAGTTTGGGACAAATTTTTGGAAATCTTTTGGAGTATAAATACTTATGTAAGTGCTGGTCTGGTCATAGGATAATTAAAACTAAACAATTCAATCAAAATTATTAATGAGGTTAGATAAGTGAGGTAGTCTAACCCATATAAACCGCTTTAGTAAGAGTTAGTGAGGGCGATCCTTACAGAATAAAGCATCATGATATATTTGGGTATCTAGGTGTCACAAAAAGACATGGATCGGCTCAATAAACAAGGTTCTTTAAGCAATACAACAAGCCTTTTAACAAGGCAATCAAAATTGACTAGCTCAATCAAAGTATCAAAGAGGTTAGAAAGGCAAGATTGTCTAATAATTTAAGTTGCTTTGGTAAGAACTAACAGAGGTGATTCTTACTGAAGAAAGAACATGACTCAATTGAATATCGAGGTACTATAATTAAACATGGTTAGCCATAAGAAAATTGGTATAGCCGATACAACATATCTTTTGTCAAGGAACTTAGAATGGCCTAATCAATCAAAATATCAAAAAGTTTAGATAGGCAAGGTATTCTAACCATAGGATGTTTAACATTATGCTTAACTCAAATATACCCCATTACGAATATATACTACATTCATTTATGAGTGGAATATTGTTGATTCAGTTCCCACATGAAATGTGCAGCCGAAAAGCTTGTTAAAAGAAGTGCATAGCTTCTCTCACATTTAACAAATTTTTTTTTAAGAGATTTATTAAATAATTCCTTTGAAAAAATAATCAATGATCACAAATAACTCACATATAAATGAAATATCAAAAAATATGTCATTTATATTTCTTAAAGTTGAGTCACAAAGTATATCAAAGCTTTGAGCATCAACTCTAGCATGCATTATATATATATATATATATATATATATATATATGCATAATATCTTTGCAAATATCTCTAATTAATAGTGACATCCAATGAGATCCACCTGCAATAATCAGTAAGTAAGCACCTCCATCGTATAGCTTTTTTATCATAAAAGGTTCTTCTTAAGTTTATTCAAATTTTTTGTGCCTACGATAGTGAGTCACAATGGGTCAGCATATAATTAGCACCATGTATCTAATCGTGAAGGTCCTTGGCCTTACCAATTTATCATGGGCTCTGACCATTCGAGTGCGATATAGCTCGATGTTTTTTTAGGCTAACAACCTAAGTCCATCATGGTTATTTAGCTCTTCCAACCTAAGTAAGATGTCTTGATCACTGTTAATAGTGTTGCCTACGACAACCTCCAATGATGGAAATTCAGTTTCTAAAGAAAAGACTACTTCGTACCCAAAGTTTAATTTGTATGGAATAGAATAAGTGGGTGTATGGTAGGTCATATGGTATGCCCACAAAGCTTCTGAGAGCATTTCATGTCATTCTTTTTTATTAGCATGCAAAACTTTCTTTACAAGATTTACCAAAATCTTATTGAAATTGTCAGCTAAGTTGTTTCCTCTTGGGTAAATTACAGTAGTATATTGCCAGTCAATTTGATGACGAAGAGAAAATCTATTAATTTTGTTGTTTGTAATGGTCAACCTGTTATCTAAAATGATTTGACATGGCACACAAAATCAATATAAAATAATTTTTATAATAAAGTATTACACATTGTCAACCTTTAGTTCTCTTAAAGGGGCTACTTCTACTTATTTAGAAAAATTATTAGTGGAAAAAAAATTTAATTTGTATCTTTTAGAGGCAGGAAGGTCAATAAGCCCCTTCTTGTCAGTCCCTCAAGCAATACAAGACCATGATGCCACTGTGGAGTGCAGCGCATTTGGGGACTAGGGAAGTATGGGCTAAGAACTTGGCACTGATGGCATCTTTTTTCGTATTCCATGCAATTAAGAGTCATCAAAGGCCATTGATAGCCAAGGCTCTTAATCTTTTTTTTCATTTTCATACCCAATTAATGGGATCCACATATGCTCTCTTGAACTCTAATAATAACCCTTTGGGCTTCATCTCTCCTAGTATAACTCAACCACATATACTCAAATAAGCATCGATGCAATGTATTCTTCATGATGGTAAACGAAAGTATCTCTTTTGAATTTGAGTAGCAAGGGAGCGATCATCAAAGAGTATCTCTTTTGTCAAATATATGATAATGGCATAACACCAATCATCTTATGACTCATCAGAAGTAAGAAGGACTACCTCTTCGTCAACTGAAGTACAACATATGGGGAATCAGAGTGTGTTGGTGACATGACTCTTCTATCTTGGATTACCACTGTAAAAAGTTCCCCATTCAGACTTGAAAGTTCCCTGGCTGGCTTAGCATGCTCAAGAACTTTGCCATTAAGGGAACTTAATATCTTAATTAGTGTTGCATTAGGGATGTGCTCTAATATTTCCATGACTGTCTTATGATAAATTAAAAGATCAGGATTGAGAAATTTATAGGTTCCAAACACCTAGCTAATTATAAGTTGAGAATTCCCGTGCACTTTAATCCTCTTTATACTTATTTGGATGACTACTTTCAATCCAAGAATTAAAGCTTCATATTCTAGCTCATTATTTGTGTGTGACTCAAACTATATGAATAGCTAGTAATACTACACTCGAGTGATACAAAAATCAAACAAATCCCCACTTTTTCCTTTTGGGAGTGATTCAGATGGGTCTTCCTTTAAGGAAGATGATCCATCAAAATATAACTCTCATTCTAGAGAATCAATGACCAATAGATATTCATTAGGTAAACCGTCGCTAAGTGGCGAATCAGCTAGGATCAGATGATTTGCTAGAAAGTTAGCTAAAGCCCGCCCCTTGCTGCCTTGCTCAGGGATATATAGGTCATCAAATTGCAATTGGATCATAGCCCATTTAGCTAATCACCCATCCAAAGTGGGACGAGTCATCAGTTATTGTAAAGGATTTATCCTTGAAATCAAGTTTATAAAACATGAGAGCATATAATATCTCAAATTGTTGCTTGCTTGTTTTGATAACAAAATTATATCCTCTTCCAATATTGTAATAAGTAACATTTTCTAATTACACAATCAGCTCATAGCGCTATTAATATTTAATGTCGTGATATTTGCCCACATGAATATTTGCAAAATACAATGGCTGCGCATCTCATTTTTGTTTATGTACATCCACAAATACGAATATTTACACTAAAACAATAGTCAAAAAGCCATAAAAAACTGCATGCAAAAAAAAAAAATATATTTTTTCGTTTACGTGTAAACATAGTAACCTATCAAATGAAGTCATCTCTCCAAAGGATGCTTTGTGGAAAGAACGTAAGGAAGAAAGAATGCTAGCCAACTGAAAAGAAAGGAATAAGACCGAAAGAGTACTTGCAAGGCTTAAACCAAGGACAAGCAGGTAAGTATAAAAATAAAAAAGGCTCACATCTCCAATAAGAAATTACAAAGACAAGGAAGAACTGAAGAAAATGGATTAAAAAACACAAAAATCATTGAAGTGGTTCGATTCACTCATAATGAGATATTACTGCCTCTTCTCCTTCATCTTCCTCATTTCCCTATTGCTGTGCTCTTCCATTCTCTTTATCCTCCTCATCGTGAAACCAAAGAAGCCCATATTCCGCTTGCATTCTGTCCACCTTGACCGCATCAGAATAGATACATCTTCTGGAAGAGGAGTTTTTCTTCAAGCATCAATGGCGTCTTTGTTGTTTGTTACCCAAAATTTCAATAAGTTTGGGATCAGATACAGCTCCTCAAACTTTGGGATTTTCTACGATAGAAATCTTGTTGGTGTCGTTGAGGTCCCAGGATTCTACCAGCCACCTAATGGCACTAATGTGACGGTCATCGTGCATATTCTGGTGAAGAGATTTAGCATCGGTAGATTTATAAATGCGAAGACTGACGACAAGGGTAGCAACTCTTCTAACGGCACTGGAATTGAAGTACGGATAGTTGGTCGGGTTCGAGCGAGAATTCATGTTAATAACTTCTCATTTCCAGTGATGAAGGTAGCGTGTATATGTTGTGCCATAATAATGCCTTATTTTTCTTGCAGTGGATATTTAGACAAAGTTCGCATCAAAATTAGGAAAAAATATTAGGTTAGGATTTAGAGCATGTGTTAAGTGAGCTCTACAAATTTTAACTCAGTGCAATGCGGTGGGCCCACTTAACATTTAGACTTCCCACTATTAAATTTTGGACATAAATTATGTTTCAAGTCCCGATGTAATATTTTTTTTTATATTTCTTTTCTTTGTGTTTTGATTTGTTTTGTTCATATATATTTATTTATTTATTTATTTATTTCTCCGTTAAGAATTTTCAGTTAAGTATATGATGCAGGTTAATGTCGACTGCAGCATAAAAGCAGATTTTGGAGCAGAGACGTTTAGCAAGGGTCTAAAGTTCATGAAGCCTAACAAGGTAAAGGCAAAAGCACTAGACGAATCTCGCCTTTTCTTTCAAAGAATATTGTGACAGAAATTACTATAATCTCTTGCAGGATTTGGTTCTAACTAAATTCCCTCATTTATATCAGAAGTGTTCATTCGCGCTGTGTTTGTAATATAATCTAACCTCGCTCACAAGCTGTACAATTACAAAAAGATTCGAGAAAATCCGACGGAGCTATCATCATGCAAATTAACTCCGAAGATGTTATATCAGACTATCAAAATGAGCAATATATTCCATTTCTCACTATGAAGATCGCATTTTTCTCATCATCACTGGACAAATAATGGAAAAGGATGCAACAATCTGATAAGAACTACTGCAATAAAAATGCATCCAAGCAGTAAACAGAATCACAGAAAATTGTGATCTTTGCTGAGTAAGGTTTGCCTTCAAGCCCATCCTAGGCCATGGCTAACTTTAATATGTTTTCTGGATACTTGAATCAAAAAATATCCCGTGGATCACACCCACGAACTAGAGATAAAAGGAAAAGAAGGAGAGAAAGAGAGAGTGCACAATAACACTAGTTCTCACAGTATAAATTTAGTAGTCATCTCTTGAAGAAAGGATATATCACAGAAGTATCTAGTAATGATATATGTTTATTTATGTTCTTATAGGGATGTTGCAAGTATTTACCTTTTCATATTTGTAAATGTCTTCATGGCCTTTTATTATCTGTAACTGACATTGACACTATTTCATACTGACAACTTCATGAAGAGGGGCATTTAGGCTTTGTTTGGCGCAGCTGCAGCTTCTCGCCTCCGCGCCTTCCCAGTGGGGGGCGCGCTGCCCCAGGAAGCTGCTGCGAGGAAGCAACTGCAGTGAAGCTAGCTGTCTGTTTGGTGCAACTGTGTGAAACCAGCTGTCAGGCAGCTGTTTATGGAAACCGAGAAAAAATAAGTGTCAAACACATTAGAATCAAGGTTAAATTGCAGTAAACTCTTACTGTAGCAACTGCAGCATGAGTCATGTGAATAACATCAAGAACTGAAACAATGTTCACATATGCTAAATATCCATTCACCAAAGAATTAAAAAAAAAACTTGAAATAAAAATCCTACAATAAAATTGAAAAGTAAAATAATAGAAGGAAAGCTAGTCGTCGGTCCCTGAATGTGATTACTTCTATCAACAATAGATTCATTAATAGTGACGATTCGATACCTCAAAATTGCTATTGTATAGCAGGCAAAAGCTAATAAAAATTGAATCTTATATAAAGGAGAAATGGAAAGAATAAGCCATCTAATAACAGATGAGCTAGGAAAACAACAGCGGAATAAGAATCTGTGCCTTTGGTGATGTCCATGGAAAACATGGGGGAGCTGGAATGGATAACTAGTAAACCTTGCTCTAGCGACCTAGCTCTTGTTGCTTAGCTTGTTCTTCCAAATGAAACAGTTCTGCTAAAGCTAATAAGAATAACAGAATGTTCTATACTTCAAAGAAAAAAAATTGTTAAATTTGAGTCACGGCCCTAAAAAGAACTAACAATCGCTAAAGAAAGCAAGAAAATTAAGAAAAGGTACCCTTTCACTTTTGGGTTTGTGGACTGAGGAAAGCATGGATAATTGCATGCAAGATTCCACACTATCACATTAGTAATGCTGCTTGGCGAAGAAGACGCTGCCAACAGTTTGAGCTTAAATTAAAAATGTTAAAAAAGCTATGTTGGGACTTCCGTTATACCTTCCTCTGCACGAAGCACCAGGAACAGTGCTACAGTCGAAGAAGGAAGAAGTGGGTTGTGCAGCTTCGAAGGAGAGGATGGCAGAGGAAAGAGATCAATGGATAGGGCTTCTTTCAAAGGAAAGATATGGGAAGAAGAACGAACAAGAGCAGATGACCAACAAATGAATGCAAGAGAAGAGTCAGGGAAGGAGTAGAGTTTCAAGTCACGTAACAACCCGAACGACGATCGATCGAAGGGGCAACTAGGTTAAAAATGAATCGTAGAATGCGGGTAGCGGGGTCAATTTTGTGGTCCACTTTTTGCGAAAAATCCCATCTGCGGTGGCCGCGAAGTTCATCTATCGCGCCCCCAAACAGTAGTTTTCTACAGTAGGGTGCAGCGAAGAGCTCAAACCACTCCCCTAAATAGAGCCTTAATGGCCTGCCAATATTGTCATTTGATCACCTGATAATTGTTCGATCGGTTGAATGGTCTTCAGTCAGCTGGAAGGTCTTCGATTGCTTGAATGGTTTTTGATCGGCCTTCTAGAGAGAATCCTTAGTAGAGGCCCTCATGTCATTAAGGTGAACTTTAACAATAAGGTAGAAGTTGTATCATCGTAATCTGATAGGCAGTTCTTCTTGAATATGGAGCCTTCGCAGAGGATTGGATAGATAATCGACTAAGTGCCCTTTGTCCATCATTGTGAAGAATCTGAGAATCTTTTGAGGGAGCTGATTATAAATGTTTGTCCATTTGGTCATGTATCCCTTGTTCTTTCATTTGGTTGTACTTTCATTCGGTCGGCCCATGGTTCTGATAGAAGAAAACAGTGCATGGCATCTCCATCTTTTGACTATCCCAGTACAGTCCTTTTGTTTCTAATTAGCGAGATCTGTTAAATTTCCTCAAGATTCAAGTGGTTTCATTTATTATGTACATATTTAGTTCTCAAATTCTCTTACTTTTTAAAAGTGACAACAGTGATGAGAATAACATAATTAAGTGCATAAATTAACTTATTTATTGCATAATGAGTACTTCTAGTGATTGAACTCCCTAAATTTGTGTGCCTGTATTTTCTATAAATAGGACGTGAGCAGCACTTTCTCATCATAAACCCTGAATTTTGGCCCTTTAGATGGTTGTTAAAACAGAATGGTAATGTCGAGTGACAACCTGCAAGAAAGGAAGACATGTTAAGGCCTTTGTGCTTTCAACCAAAAAACTATGTCATTCAACAAGAGAGAAGAAGAATAAACCCCAGAGTACCTGACTGGGAACAAAGAAAGAGACCATAGATGACGGTTGACTTATGCGAAAGAAGGCGGAGGGCGAGGGATGAACGATTGGATCAAAGGGACTAGGAGAGGGAAGCCAACCATAAGGAAAAAAGTTGATAAGGCAAGTAGTATAGAAGAAACAAAGCAAGGAGGAGACGATCGAGAAGAGATAACGAGTAGGACTAACAAGCACACTATCAGTACATCAGTCCATTCTGCAAATCTAAGCCACCAGTGACTAGCTCATCAGCTAGCACAACAATAAGTTTAGATAGTTGCAGCGAACCGTATCCAAACATGGGAAGGTGTGTTCCCCATTCCTTTGGTCAGTGACGTCAGTCCAGTGGCTATTTTAAAACTTACTGAAAATATGAAGAGAAAAATTGGTATGAAAAATCTCTATTTTAGGTGGTTTCTTTATTTATTTTTCGGCAAACCTCACACCAAAAATAGTGCCGACAAGACTATTCACATCAAAGAGTTTGCACAATGAATCTTGGGTTTGCACTTTTTCATTCACCATTTATGCATCTGATTATTTTTGCAAATGAGACTATTCACATCAAAGAGTTTGCACAATGAATCATGGGTTTGCACTATTTCATTCTTTACTTTTCCTTCCCTTTGGTCGATTTTCATCTAGTGCTCCAAAGGCCTCCAAGTGTTCTTCACAGCTATTCAGCTCGAAGCCAGCAATCAAAAAGTTTATACTGACATCATTCAATGTGAGTCTTTGGGAGGATACTTGTGTGTATAGGACAAGTGTAGTACTGAAGTTACTCAAGCCAGAGGTGAGGGTGATCGACTAATTTTGGGATGCATTAATCTTCTACCCAGACCAGCTCTGATGAGGACTCGGACTGCCATTCTGCCTAGAAATCCAGTCGATATTTGATCCCGGTGAAATATAGTTGTGTAAAATTTATAAAGTTAACTCTGTTTTACGACGGTGCCAAAAACTTGATGTGGTATTTTAGTAATAATAATGTTAAGCACTTAAGATTGGGATTCTAAATGAGTAAACGTATCGTTATCAAGCAATATAATACTTTCTGTTTAAGTCCCAAATATCAATCCCACGAGTAAGGTTTAAATTTAAAATGATAAATTAACTAGGAAATTCACATAAATCAAACTCACATTAGGAAATTCACATAAATCAAACGAAATTATTGTCACTAATTTTGAATGTGTAAGATACTAACAAAACTAAATTATTAACTATTAGCAAAACTTAAATGGAGAGTCTAAAAATAATAACTACTAAACTATATTTATGTGATGAAGTTTTCTTATATGAAAAAAGCATATTTCCCACTACAATGAGTATTTTGGTGAAATGAGATGAGATAAATGGTTTAAATTTGTATTGTTCCAAATAGGAGAAATTTTAATTCTTTACCCTGATTCAGTGTTATAGAAAATTATTAGTTAATCTTAGGTTTAGTCTATAAATCCGTGGCTAGGCTAGGAGGATAGTGGCACCCACTCCAAAGCTCCCACTTCCCTTCCCCTGAAGACTAACTCTCACTTTAGTTTTTAAACACTAAGATCGATTTGGGATTTTTAGTCTGTCACCCTAAAAAAATCTTCACTTCTACACCCAACAAAGTATATTTCCCTATTTATTTGCACTTAATTCCATGAACGAAATACTCCTTCATGGACTTAAATTCAACTTAAATGTGATTCTCACTCTTTTGTAGAACTCATACTCCATTTCCCAGATCATATGTTTCACAACATGTTTTAACAATTCAATTGGTCAGATCAAAAAGTAAATTAAGAGCGGAATTAAAAAACCATCACAATTTATTTTAAATGTTAACATTAACATGTCCAAATTATCTCTTCATTTCACCATATCTAAGAGTTGGGAGAAATATCTAAGAGTTGGGAGAAAGATGAAGGAAACTACTCAGATTTCATGAGAAAGATACAACAAAACATAAATTTCATATATAAATGAAAGTTCATATAATAATAATAAACAAACAACACTTATTTGAAACTATTTCTCAAAGTAAATCTCTTGTAGCCTCTCTTATGAAATGTAGAAAGAAGAAATGTCTCACTTCTCTTCCTCTTTAACACTTCTTAGAGAAGAATTCACACTTAAACTCACTACAAAAACTCAAAACTATTAAAAAAAATAAATAACTAATGGTGTGGAATGTAGGCGTGCGAAGAGGAAAACTTTTTGAAGAGGAAAATTGAAATGAGTGGAAGAATGTGAAATGGTGCAAAGGGGGGGGTGTTTCTGATCAAACTTTATAGAGCCTAAGGTCGGTTCTCCAATAGGTGCATCCAAAAAATCTTTAAAAGATGTCCAAATTCATTGAATCTTCTAGAAACAGGGTCTGTACCGACACCAAACGGCGCCGTCGGTGCTGAATAATTTTTTAACTTCTTCATTTGACTCCAAATTTCATCCTTTTTTATTCATTTTTGCTCCACGTCCTAAAAATCAATAACCTGCAATAAAACATAAAAAATATCTTCTATTAAAGTAATATATCACCAAAAATAAGTATAAA